AAACCCCTTCAAAAATGTGGGGGAGATTCACAAAGAGTGGACTGCAGCTGGAGTGAGTGCTTCAAGAACCACCACACACAGACGTATGAAAGACATGGGTTTCTGCTGTCGCATTCCTTGTGTCAAGCCACTCTTGAACCACAGACAGCGTCAGAAGTGTCTTGCCTGGGCTAAAGAGAAACAGGACTGGACTGCTGGTGTGTGGTCCAAAGTCATGTTCTCTGATGAAAGTAAATTTTGCATTTCCTTTGGAAATCAAGGTCCCAGAGTCTGGAGGAAAAGAAGAGAGGCACTTCATCCACGTTGCTTGAAGTCCAGTGTAAAGTTTCCACAGTCAGTGATGGTTTGGGGTGCCATGTCATCTGCTGGTGTTGGTCCATTGTGTTTTCTGAGGTCCAGGGTCAACACAGCCACATACCAGGAAGTTTTAGAGCACTTCATGCTTCCTGCATCTGACCAACTTTTTGGAGATGCAGATTTCATTTTCCAACAGGACTTGGCACCTGCACACAGTGCCAAAGCTACCAGTACCTGGTTGAAGGACCATGGTATCCCTGTTCTTAATTGGCCAGCAAACTCTCCTGACCTTAACCCCATAGAAAATCTATGGGGTATTGTGAAGAAGAAGATGCAATACACCAGACCCAACAATTCAGAAGAGCTAAAAGCCACTATTAGAGCAACCTGGGCTATCATAACACCTGAGCAGTGCCACAGACTGATCGACTCCATGCCACGCCGCATTGCTGCAGTAATACAGGCCAAAGGAGGCCCAACTAAATACTGAGAGCTGTACATGCTCATACTTTTCATGTTCATACTTTTCAGTTGGCCAACATTTCTATAAATCCTTTGTTTTTATTGGTCTTCAGTAATATTCTAATTTTCTGATATGATGAATTTGAGATTTTCATTTGTTGTCATTTGTAATCATCAAAATTAAACAAAATAAACATCTGAAATATATGAGTTTGTATGTAATGTATGAATATAATATACAAGTTTCACTTTTTAAATGGAATTACTGAAATCAATCTACTTTTTCATGATATTCTAATTTTATGACCAGCACCTGTATGTCAGTGAAGCTGAGTGCTCCACATCTCTGCCTTCATGGTGCCCATCTACATTAAGATCCAAAATTCTGAGAAAAAAAGTCAGAATTCTGAGAAAAAAAAAGTCTTAATTCTGAAAATAAAAGTCAGAATTCTGACTTTTTCCCGTATTAAACTGAAATAAAATGTAAAAATCATTTAACATTTTTTTTTCCAGTGGCCCTAATCCTCTTCCGTAGTCTTGGGCTGATCACTCATCCAATATTTAACTGCTAACTTTCTCTAGACGTTTGCCACGCTAGCCAAAATGTTTTTTTTATATATTTTTTTTTATATCTCATTTCAGTACAATGCCACCACCAACTAAAAGGCTGAAACAGCAGCAGGACTTACTCAGATTTTTTTAAAAGAGAAACGTCAGTGTGAGTAACAGTCACCTAACACAACTTGTGTTGAAATTAGCCCGGTCTGGGCGTGCGTTTTACGAGGATTTTTTATTTTTTGCATGGTTTTGATTCGCCGAAATGGACAGATGTTATACCTGCCACGCTCCTGATCGTTAGTTAACCACAGGGAGAATTAATTCTAATTCTTAGCAGCGGCGGCCGCATTGGTCGTGCAGTGGACTGCTGCACAACCACTAATTAACCAACTAATTAACTTCTGCATCTTTATTTCCTCAAATAAACTGCTGGCTCCTCTTTTTAGACTATAAACAGATTAACACAACAATGACAACTCTGTAGTTTTCTCTGTTCTGTACTGCAAATTGGAATTAAAGGCGCCATTTCTACCAAAGGTCTGGACAGACTGGCCACCTGTCTAGGGTGGACCCCGCACCAGCACCTCCCGACCCCACTAAGGGACAGGGTGTACAGAAAATGGAAGGATGGATGGATTTCTACCAAAGGTTGATAATGCGTTTTTGAACCAGATGCTTCAAAGCGCCCTGTCCATAATTCTTCAACACACTCCGTCAGCTCCCTCTGTCAGTCAACCTATATAAATTCATTTTTGACCATTATTGCAAGTTTGACAAAATAAAACATATCAAACTTTGCACTTGTGTGGCCTACTGAATTGTTTTGATTTTCTAGTGCGTATGCGGACACTAAATATGCCAAGGGCTGAAGCCCTTGAAAGACATCTCCCTTTGCTTAATAAAAGAGTCCAGTCATTTTGTTTGGTGATATGCTCACATCTTATGAACAAATGCATTATGTTAATTTTAAATGCATTATTTTTGCAAACACATTTATAAAGGAATAAAGTAAAAGATTAAATAGCCTTTTTTTAAGTAGCGTACTTAAGATATGTTTCTGCTGAATATTTACGAATCTCAGATTTCCGACATGTGTCCCCCCCAATTGTAAACATATTCCTACGCCCTTGGCAGGAGGTCTTCCACATCTCTTGAATTGTCTCCTGGGTCAATTCCAGTGACAACGATGAGGTATAAGAGGTGCTGTAGAATCTCACAGAGCTCCGAGATATAAACCCACAGCCATGTTTCAGTAAAACACTTAATACTGCATTACAAATATTCTGGCTGGGTCCTCGCTAGGGCTTGGAGGGCTTCTAACTCGTTTCCTTAAGATCTTACATTGATCTTTTCTTGATGATTGATGGAAGAAATGGGTCAAATGTTTTCTTCTCCTTGCTCCTGCTCTGCGTCCCTGGTGCCTCCTCTTCAACTCAGCTTGTACTTGAGGAAGTAATTGATGTATTATTTGAGCTTTAAAGATGCTTAATAGCTGCTCCAGGGTGTTATTAATCAACTTGCTGTGGTTGCTCTGGTTACGCTTTATAACAAGTAAATATCAGTCAAATTCTTTCCGGTTCCACAGCATTCAACATCACAAGCAAAAACCATCAGAAAAAAAGAAAATCTTATCCAAAAGAAAATAGAGTTCTCGTCAATGTTGCCAGATTGGGTGGTTTACTGCCCAGATGGGTGGTTTTCATTTTGATGGCAAAAGTTGCTTTGGATGGGTGGAGATAATATGGTCTGGTTCAGATTCAGATCGGCAGTTTTTGAGTTAAGCTATTAAAACACACGTCCACCAATCATTCATCATTACTGGTTCATAGCAAAGCCTTCCTGACCTTTATCCACCACTGATTAGCTAATGTCGTCTGCCAGTGGGATTACAACAGAGGACTAGTGTAGTAGTACCACAAATTATGCTAGTTTCAGCAGCAGGTGGATCTGGTGCGATAACCTTCGGGCTGACGATCAATGCGTTGGTTGGAAGAGGAATCCTTTAAAGTTGCTGGAGGAAACCGCTGCTTTCAGGATTTAGCACTTTAGCACACAATTAAATTCCTCACATTCCCTATATCAGATGCACCTGTTAAAAGAGCTTTTTCACAATTTGCTGTGAAGATATTCCGTTAGGTTATATCCAAGTAACATCTTCCTATGGACAACGACGTTACTTGGATATAACCTAACGGAATATCTTCAGAACGGCTCCAAATGACACAAAAACTCATATGGGTGAGTAGAACATGATGTAATAACATAAAATCAAGGTTCAAATGTAAAAAAAAAGGCTTTCCCCTTTAAAAGAACAGCTAAAAATGACATCCTTTCTAAAGTCCTTTCCCCTCCATTTGTTTATCATCCTTATGATCACATACAAACACCCAATAATAGCCTTAATAACCCGGCATAGTTTTATGCTCTTGTTTTGCTGACAAATATGCTTTTGTAGTAATTATTTCCCTTCTATACTTTAATAAATTCAAAAATAAATGTGGTTGGATTGTTGACATGCTTTTTTTTATGCCCAAATAGAATCATAGTATTTTTGGAATTGTTTTTTAGGAATGCTTCTATTCAAAAGAGCAGGACCTTCAGAGTTGATTGGAAGGGGGATGCTGCACTCTGAATTAGTCACTAGTATCCACCACCAGGATATTTAAATCATTTAGTCTGAGCGTATATACAGCTATTCTTTGGAATAGTTTGCTGTAAGCCATATAATGGACACAGGTGCTTTTTGACCTACAAACATGCAGGCAGTGGAAGTAGCATGATGCTGTTGCGATTCATTTTCTTCAACAGAGACATGGAATCAGTATATGGAGATCATTTTGTCTAAACACAGAGCAATATTTGCAAAGCTGGGGATGGCATACATTTTACAGCAAGGCAACTAAACCACCATCAGAGCTACGGTGGAATATTTCAGTAAATATTCACTGGCCCAGTTGGCTTAAAGTCAATCGAGAGTACTCATTCAACATGACCCAATCTGATTGAGCTTAAGCTTTATTCAAGTTTCTTCTTATGAATATGGCAAAGCACTGGAAAGTACATAATTATGGTATAAGGTATATATAAGAAGATGTATGCAGTTACACTTGATCACATTTCTTCAACTTTATCCAGAAACACATACACAATAGTTGATGCTGCAGTGACATCACCGTGCGATGACTCAACCACTGGACTCACCGCTGTGTATGTGTGTCTGTATGTCTAAAAGTGTGTGTGTTGAGTGTCCACCCACGCATGATGAGTCACCCAATGCGCAGCAGGGAGCTCAGCAACACCTCCCTATATATAGCCACTTCAGAATCGGCGTATGCGTGCGACTGAAGTGCTCAGCGCATCCCTGAAATCCCGCACACACCCAAACACACAGGGGTTGTGAGGTAGTTGTTGAAAAAATGGGTTCGGTGAGGCTGGTGTGGCAGAAATGTCCTCAGTTTCTACCTATTCTGCAGATTCTCTTTTTATGAATGAAACTATAGTTTTTATCTTAGTGTTTGTTTATGCGTGTGTTCTGCAGCAATTTTGTATTATCAACCTCCTTTTTAATTTTTTTTAGCTCCTATTAAACCACACGCACAAACACACCTCTTCCTCTGCAATGAATGGACTGATTTGTGAATCATCCTGCAGTGAATCAGAATACCTCTCCCTCTTTTTCCCAGCAGTCTTTGCAGCATCTGAGTGTGTTTTCGTCCTCGCTGGCCCACAGACCTCTGGGAAGAGCCAAGTCGTCCCCTGCGTCCGCTGTCAATCCCATCAAACACCTCTTCACCACCGGTTAGGCTCCTGCTTATTTATTGATCTCTTTTAAAGGATAAACATCTGCTTTCTGATTAAATGAGAGTGGGATGGTATTAGTCCACCTCTTGAAAGTCTCTGCCTTGTTTCCTAGCAACAAGGAGCGGTGTCTCATTTCCTTGGTTACGATTACCTTGTTTGTAATAGTTAATTTTGTTCTGATCTCTTATGCTGATGAAGGTTCTCAGTCATCCAGGTCATAGTCATTCCGTAAAAATTCAAAAAATATCCACTGGACTTGGTTTTCAAGATTTGAAGACGTTTCTCCACCTCTCCAGGAAGCTTTCTCAATTCAAATGTCTGGATCCGCAGTGAGTTTGAGTCTTATATAGACACGCCTTGTATCGCTTGGAAACATGCAATGGTAACCGATGAATGGGTCGTTAGTTCCATCGTTAGCCTGTAATATCTGAACCTGTCTATGATACTAGGGGTCGGTCGTTAAAGGGGGGATTGCCATTAACGGGGGGGATTGTCTCCTGTAATACCTGAAACCTGTCTATGATTGTTAAGGGTTGGTCGTTAAGGAGGTATTGTTCACCGGCTGGGGCGGGTAGGTCCCTCGTTCCTCTGTGATGGGCTGGGGGGTTTGGTGATACCAAACACCAAAGCTTCCTGGAGAGGTGGCGAAACGTCTTCAAATCTTGAAAACCAAGTCCAGTGGATATTTTTTGAATTTTTACGGAATTCTGATCTCTTAGTTATTATTTTTAAAAGTAAACATACAAAAAAAGTGAGCCTCTTTGATATTTGTGTGTCTTTTTGACATTTGAGTTTTACTATATTGGCTGTTAAATATTGGAGCTCCCCAATAAGACAAAGCACGTTGTTTATGAAGAAGAAAACTATTGTTTAAGAATTTTTTTTTTTTCATTTTGTGAGAGCATTACAATACAGTGGTAGTTACTTTCAGGGAGCGTACAATGTTACTACCACCACTCACAATTATTTTTTGTCTGTACAAAATTATGGAATAATATACAAAGTTAAATAAATTACATCAACTTTGAACAAACTGAGAAAGATAGGCCTACACGAAAAAGCCAAAAAATAAATAAGGTGTCTACCAAGCAGTTTTGAAGTAAAGTATGAGAGATACAGTAATATATTAATCCTTAGACACTACAAAACTTTCAAATAAAAAAATAAAAATAAAAAAAATAAACAAGCTTTGCATGGTCATCCATTCTGTACTTCGGTCTTTTCAAGACCAGCATATTTAACCCACTTGGCCCACCTCTTAGTGAATGTTTTTTTGAAGTTGGAGGCAGAAGGTGACCCTTTTCATAAGATAAATGTAATTTACAATATCCACTCTTGTATTGTGGGTTGGGGGCCGACCAACGTCTTGTGACTACTTTTTTTTACAAGCAGGTATCAGAATATCAAATAAATATTCATCAGCTTTCCTGACCTATAAATCAACATTTCCTAAAAATAATATTGAAAACGGCATAGGTTGATTAGTATGTTGAAGAAGGTTCTAAGAAGGTTTTTATCAGAAAATAAAATCGAGTAGATATGGGACCTTATATATTGATAGGAGTGGTGGTCTAGTGGTTAGGGCATAGGGCTTTGAATCCTGAGTTTGTGAGTTTGATCCCCCACTCCCACAGACTGTCACTCTGGGTCCCTTAGCAAGACCCTTAACCCCACACTGCTCACCGGGCGCCGCACAGTGGCAGCCCACTGCTCCCCAGGGGGATGGGTTAAATGCAGAGAAGTATTTTCCCTCTGGGATTATTAGATTATATAAAAATATGATTTTTTTGGGTAGCAGCTGAATAAATCCCCAAACAGGATTAAGACACCAGAATGGTGAGTTAAAATTGTTTATTAAGGAAAAAACTTGGAGCCAAACATGAGCAGATCGATGTCAAAGGAACATATGGCTCTGATGGAGAACTATAAGAATCAAAAAGCTTGTACACTGAGGCCCAGTGGGAAAAATGATAAGCAAACTAGAAGAGCCAGTCTAAAGAGCTGAGTTGAAGCAGATGCATAGAGAAGGCAGAGCAGCTGAGAGACGGAATAATTATACACATTATCCTTTTATTTAAAAAGTATTCATGAATATCTACAACACATCTGAGGAACTAAAGTTAAAAAAAAGCTAAGAATTCCTGATTTAATGTCAGACACTCTTTTTGTTTTCTAAAAATAAACTGTTTATGTTTAACAATATCAGGTTTTTATCAGTTTGTTTTTAACAAAATTATCACCTTGAACAGTTAGTAAATTGTGGAGAACATAAAGGATCTTATTAAATGAACTTTTTGAAAACATGTTTCCACACATGATGCACATTTAAGAGCGATTACTTGCTTTGTCTCTTTACAGGATTGGTATATGATAGCCTAATGCTGAAACATCAGTGTGTGTGTGGTAACGCTCACATCCACCCTGAGCATGCTGGGAGGGTCCAAAGCATCTGGTCCAGACTGCAGGAGACTGGTTTACTGAGTCGCTGTGAGGTACAGAAAATAGTGCAAGAAAAAACATTTGGATTTAAATCTTTGAACTTAAAAGAGAGAACGTGTTGTATGTAACCAAGCTTCTCTTCTCTTCTCGTTCTCTTGACCTGTATGTGAGCAGAGGATTCGTGGGAGAAAAGCGTCTCTAGATGAGATCCAGTCGGTCCATTCAGAGTTCCATACCTTGCTGTATGGAACTAGCCCGCTCAATCGCCACAAACTTGACCACAAAAAGCTTTTGGGTAATTGTCTATCTACACCTACAGCAGGGTCAACAACAGGATGCTCTGGGCATCAAGTAGTCCCTACACATGAAGCACAAGAGGCTATTCTAAAAATAGCATGACTCACCTGGGAATTTTTATTTTGTTGTTTTTGCTTTTAATCATACTTGCATTTATATAGATTTGAAAATAATTTAAAAACATTTTGCAAAAATATGTTTATTTTACATGAAGTTTAAATGAACTCTGACTCTTCTACGGTCACCGGTGGTAGCCTGTCGTCTGACATGAAGCAGCTCTAAGTTTCAAAAAGATTTCTGACCTCTGGTCTTTACAAGCATTAATCATAAACAGTCATTTAGTTTTGTTCATCTTTTAATTCTGTTATTCTTCATCTTCTAGGAACTTTTGCCTGTAAATTTGTCCGTGGTGGCTATTTTATAGTTTGTGTTGCTTTTCAGGTCCTATCAGCCAGAAGATGTATGCTGTTCTTCCCTGTGGGGGAATAGGGGTAAGATTCTCTATAGATGTGGAATTATCTGAGCTCTATAACAGCTTTGGTCCAAACATAAACTCGGTGCTGCCCTCTTTAGGTGGACAGTGACACCGTGTGGAATGAAATGCACTCATCAGCGGCAGTTCGCATGGCAGTTGGCTCAGTTATTGAGCTGGCCTTTAAAGTGGCTGCAGGGGAACTAAAGGTAACATGAAAAAGTTCTCCCCTGTATAAAACACCCTCTCACCCGCCTTCACTCTAACCCTTCACTCTTAAATGTGTTGTTTTTCCACTAGAACGGTTTTGCAGTCGTGCGTCCACCTGGTCACCATGCTGAGGAATCCACAGCCATGTCAGTACCTTCACCTTTATTTTAATTGGGAGATCTGCGTGTACTAGTTCTGTATGTGTATATCCTGACAGATCTGCATTCTTCTTTGTGTTTGTGGGCACATAGGGGGTTTTGTTTCTTCAACTCAGTAGCCATCACTGCCAAGCTGCTGCAGCAGAAGCTAGGAGTGGAAAAGATCCTGATTGTGGACTGGGTAAGGAGCACAAAAACACAAACAACATTCAGTTTATTTTGTGCTTAAAGCTCCCATTATAAAGTACTTTATTGAAAAACAATCAGTCAATAATTTAAAGGGAAGGTCACCAAGGGATAACCAATGGATCATAATATATATATATATCTATACCTAAAAACTAATAAGTTTAAAGGTTGTTTAATTAATTTAACGTTAATCAGTAAAAAAAATAAAAACAATTTTCGTCACGATCACTGAGTCTGGGAGCGGCCCCTCCCTCCTGCCATCTTCCGGCAGTGACGTCACGGTGCGGTAAGCCTAGCGCCATTCTCCCCGCTTTACAAGCAAAATCAATGGGAACTACTAGACACATCTGCAATCAACAACAATTATTGAACATTTCCAGATGACCATTGAAATGCATCGCAGTTGGATGTTGGAATACATTGGATAATAGTGAAAAAGAACGAGTTATTTCACTTTTCCGATTGTTGGTCCTCCATGGACATGTTCGTTGTTGGATTGAAGAGGGAGGATTTGCCATCGAACTTCTGGCCAGAGAAAAAACACGTAATATGTAGCCAACATTTGGAAGAAGAATGTTTTCAAGCTGACTTGGATAATAGCGCGTTGTGCAGTGTTGGGACTAACGCGTTCCAAGTAACGCGTTACTGTAACGGCGGTATTTTTTTCACTAACTAGTACGCTAACGCGTTAGTTTTTAAATTCAGTAACTCCGTTAACATTACTACATGATGCGTTACAGCGTTATTTTATAGTCTCGGGATCAGCTAGAGACTTAAAAGCTGCAGTGAAGTATTGTTTTCCTGTGTTAGAGTGAGGGAGACAGGAAGGAAACATGCTGAAGGCGTGTTTGTGTTTACCAACACTAGTCATCATGGCGGCTGCTGCAGAGCCCAATTTGAGTTTCTTCACTTGGAGATATTCTCATTAATTTACAATTTGTGCCTTGGATCAAAGATTCTATCTACAGCCCAGAACAGCAACACCTACAAAAGCAACATGCTGCGACGAAGCTAGACGCTACCGGTGTCGTGCCAAGGTAGTTATCCCTGGGAAAATTTGTATCCCCTCGTTGGGAGCGAGCACGGAGTAGGACGAACAACCCGACTTAACTCCGCCTCAATTCCAACGTGCAGAACTTGAAATTTGAAAGGTTTTACGTGTATGAAAGTTGAGCTTCAATGTTTTATTCTTTACTTCACATGTTATAGCAGAATATCGCCAGTGATATTGATTTAAAACTGATAATAAAACACAAACGTTTGCTTGAAAGCTGGTTGCTGACAGCAGTGTCTACTCCTTCCTCTGAAAGCAAACAGATCCTTGTTCCTTTCCACACGTTCCTTAAAAAAATCTCTAATTGTTTCACAGTGTCCAAATGTTCTCATCCCATTGAAAACTGTTGCAAACCATATACTTGTAATAGAAATGAAATAGAAAATGGAGTGCACGTGTAATCATTAAAGACTATATGCAGAAGGAAATAATTTTTTCCTGGTTGAAATTTAGTACTTAAATCTATATTTGTGTTTTATATTAGCTTACAATTTATCACTGTTGTACTATCCTTAATAAACAGTTTGTGTTCTAACATCAGCCGTTTTATTTCCCATATTGCCAGAATTTGCAATATGGGATGAAATAAAACCTGCTGTAATCTGTTCCCCCTGTCTAAAGCAGACAAAAATGGTCCCAGCTTTTTCATTTTTGGCTTATAAGCATCTTTTATGATGACAATTTATTTCTGAAACTTTGGAGGTGATGGACCTTTATTTCTTAAAGTTATAAGGGGGGAACAAATTATAGCAGGCCACCTGCTATAATCTGTTCCCCCCTGTCTAAATCAGACAAAAAACGTCCCAGCTTTTTCATTTTTGGCTTATAAGCATCTTTTATGATGACAACTAACCCCTGACACTTTGGAGTTGATTGACCTTTGTTTCTTAAAGTTACAAGGGGGGAACAAATTATAGCAGGCCACCTGCTGTAAAGGGCAATTTTGCAGGCAACTACCTACTATGTAGCATTGTCAGTTTGTTCTGCCCTGAAATAAATTGGCACTTTGAAACATATCTTTGTTGCTTGTATATAGAATTGCTTAGCAGAGCTTCATGATGCAAATGCATGTCAAGTTCTTCAACAGATGGTATTATTCTCCATTGCAATAACATTTCTGAAATGAAGGCTATAAGGTCATAATGTGAACCTTTAAAAAAAAGTAACTAAATAGTTACTTTTCACAGTAACGCATTACCTTATGTTGTAAGTAACTGAGTTAGTAACTAAGTTACTTTAGAAATGAAGTAACTAGTAACAGAAACTAGTTACTGCTTTTCAATAACTAGAACAAGACTGGCATTGTGACAAACACCAGATACAGCACTGGGACTTGATCAACAGCCGATATTGCACTGTGACGTCACAAACCAGTAGGTGGCAGTAGTGTTCTTTGACAAACATGGATGCCTCCAGTAAAGCACATTTAAATGAAAATTACCTCTAATTAAAAACACTTATGCTTTAAGGAACAGTATGTAAAAAATTTCATAATTAATGTACTTTCAGAATTTTGAATTCTGAATATGACCAGACTTTTCCTTCAAAGAAAAACAAAAAAAGAAATCATAGAAACGCCTCTGACCATAGGCTGGTCCTAGAATAGGCTGGTCCTAGAAATCCTGTCCCCTACAATGTTAAACAGGAGAGCTAAACAGTCTAACATCCACCAGTACAAAAGGTTTAAACTTTAGCCCAGCAATGTAAAGCAAAGGCCTGCTCTGCTTCTATGACGCCCAACTCCATACTGCGTAATACAGCTTAAAATATAAAAGCTAAGAGTAATATCTGTGCACTGCAGGAAATGGTCACGATGATACAGAATATTATTCATGTGGCTTTTCTTTGATCATTTCATTTTCTTTTTGAAAATGGATATGAATAAACAAAAACAAGTGGCTATTTTATTTTAAAACTCAAATTTTTACTTGAAATATATATATTTTTATTTCTGTGACATAATATTCATTTTTTTATTATTTGAGTCTTTTTTCTACGTCGATAAAAAAAAAAATTAGTTATTTAAAAGCATAAACAGAGAAGGAAAAGGGTACTAATTTTATGACTGGATGTGTTCGCCAAATTATGATTTACTAAACTAATTATTTTTTTATATTTTCCACATCCTTTTTTTGACACAAAATAAGAGAAACAGCTTTTTCATTTCAGTTACTGGATTTTAAAACTAAAATCAAATTGCCACTTGTTTTTTGATAATGGTTTCTAAAAGGCACATTCAATGCCCCAATGACACATCCACCCACAACTCCTTTGGTTAACTTTATATGAAGTCTTATATTATGTGTAAATGAAACCAGGGGCATCAAGTATCTGAGTAAAAAAATACTTTGTTACCTTAATTTAGTAACAATTTGGGCTATCTATACTTCACTTGAGTAATTATATTTTAGACAACCTTTTACTTCTACACATTACTTTTTTTTCTACAATTATCTCTTTCTACTCCTTATGTTTTAAAAATAGACTCATTAGTTTTGTGTCATTTAAGCTCCTTTTCATTATGGCCTGTTGGAATTTTGTGGTTATTATTTTGGTATGTGGTTGTTCACCACATAGCAACTGCGAAAATTAAGCATAAGGAATTATCGTGCAGAATGGTTGAAAAAACAAGGTTAGAGCAGTAAAGTTCTGTCCTTAACATTTTTTCCTGCATTACTTTTACTTCTTTTACTTTAAGTAGTTTTAAAAATTGCACTTTTACACTTTCACTTGAGTAAAAAGGTTATATTTATCCTCTAAATTCTACAAACGTGTTTTTAAACAGTAGGATTTATACTTCTTGAGTAATAAACGTGGAGAAAGGGGTCTAGTTTAAGGAGGGTAGAGTTAAACATTTTATATATGTTAGGAAATCATGATGCAAATGTTTGTGAAAATTTCTAATTATTTGACTTCTGGCTGTGGACATAGACTTGTGGTGGCTGCTATCGCACCACTGCTTGTCACTCAGGTGACATTATACCAGGGGAAAAACACCATTGTTTATTGTACATGTATCCAAGCATCTCAATGCCTTAACCACCGATCCCAATATGAACTGTGATGGCAGGACATTCACCATGGCAACGGCACTCAGCAGGCCTTCTACAATGATCCAAATGTTCTCTACATATCTCTGCATCGGTACGATGATGGAAACTTCTTTCCTGGCAGTGGAGCACCAGAGGAGGTATGTAGTCATTCACTTTTTATGTATAAAATGAAAGAAATGCGAAAGTTTGTTGAGTTTAAACACAGCTGCCAATATAAAAAAAAGGCTATCAAAGACACTTCACAATACCTTTTAATGAATTGCCTATATCTGTTTGCAGGTAGGCTCAGCAGCAGGAGTTGGATTTAATGTAAACATAGCATGGACTGGAGGGGTGGAGCCTCCTATGGGTGATGTGGAGTACCTCACTGCCTTCAGGTAAAGTTTAGCTGTGCAGTAAACAGCACATAATCCTCAGAGTAAAAGACTCTAACATTTAGTTACAGTTCCCCTTAAACACAAAAGCTATAAAAGCAGTTATGATATTTGCCTGATCATATTTGTTGAGTTCTGATAAAGGATTAGGGGTTAAAGTGACCTTATCTTTAGTCTTGACTTATTAAACTACTGGTCCTAAGCGGTCTGCTACCAGAGAGACCGTGGGCGGTCTCTCTTTTTCCTCCAAGCTTGGTTCCTCAACCAGAGGCCTGGGAGCTTATATTTATATATATAATATATAAACTCTTGTGTGGTTGGATGGTGACTAAGGGGAAGGTAATCCACACATAGGGGCTCTCACTCCGCGTAGGAACAATAGCAGACATTGATGACACAAGTGCCTCGGAATCCCACAAGCAAATGGCAACCTGGAAGAAGTGATAATGAAAGTGGCTACAGCCAAATACCTCCAATGAGTAAGGCAGGTCATTAGAAGCCAGCTCCATGGCAAGATCAATCCCCCTGATATTGGGTATCAGGCTCAGATGAGAACTTTTCTACTCTCATAGCAAAGTTAAGGAAGGTGCTACCAGATGTTCTCCTGAATGATTTGAATTCTGCAAGTGTCACAGAACCCAATGAACTGATAAACACTACAGCATTAGTGATCCTTCAGTTGCTTGGCCGAGGTAAAGTCAAGAGCATCCACTGAAGACAGTGTCCACCATGGAAGAGAGGGCTGGAAGCCAAAATCCAGGCAATACGGAAAGAAGTAAGCCAATTGTCAGAACTCCAGAGGGGATCATCTGGCTGAGAAAAACAAACAGATGGAAGGAAAGAGAGACTTATCCCAAGCAGGGTCGCGAGGGGTGCTGCTACCTATCTCCAGCTGTGTACGAGGAGAGGCGGTGTCCACCCAGGACAGGTCGCCAGTCAATCACAGAACAACACAGAGACAAACAGGACAAAGGAGAATTTAGAGAAGCCTACTAACCTAACAGTCATGCTTTTGGACTGTGGGAGGAAGCCAGAGTACCTGGAGGGAATCCACACATACTCAGCGAGAACAGGCAAACTCCGTGCAGAAAGACCCCATGCCGCGTATCAAACACACACTGAACTGCAAGGCAGCAGTGCTATATATAAGCAACTTATAATCAAAAACTTTTCATAGCAAATATCATCTTCCCCACCTCCCAGTAAAGGACATGTAGTCCAGTCATACAGAAAGATTTAATGTCAACAGCAGCAGGTTTATCTCGTTTGATTTGAATATTGTTGAGAGTTCATTTTTTTAAGCAACTTAATTCAATAAGTAAAGATATTTTACATTAAAAATTGTAAGCCTGTTTACTGGCATGGTGGCCTCTGGTTCTAATGCCTGTTTTGTGTTTGTGTAGGAGTGTGGTAATGCCCATCGCCCAGCAGTTCAGTCCCGATGTGGTCCTGGTGTCGGCAGGCTTTGATGCAGTGGAAGGTCATCAATCTCCTCTGGGGGGCTACAATGTTTCTGCACAATGTGAGTGCAGACTGTTTAGCAATCTAACAACAATGAATGTCTTGGTCTATTTTCCTTTCCAAACATGAGTTAACACTAGTTTAAGCCTTGCTATCGATTAGCTGTACTATACATGTTTGCAGGTTTCGGTAAGCTGACGCAGCTGCTAATGGGACTGGCAGGAGGGCGAGTTGTAATGGCACTGGAAGGCGGTCATGACCTCACTGCTATCTGTGACGCTTCAGAGGCCTGCGTTTCTGCACTCCTCGGAGATCTGGTAAAAGATGAACTGAACACAGAAGTTATGAAGGAATGTAGGACAAGATGTTTTATAAGTTTGCAACAGTAAAAGGCATCAGAAATATGCAGATGAAGCATCCTCAGTCATCCAGGTCATAGAAGGGCAAAGAAATGTAAAAATAATTCAATAGACTTGTTTTCAAGTTGAAAGACATTCGCTTTCCACCCAGGAAGCTTTTTCGATTCAAAATGTCAGGAATAGCGTTGAGTTCGAGCCTTTATACCGGAGGTCTTCAACAGGGGGTCCGCAGAGGTACTGCATGGGGGTCGTAAAAGTTTTGGTTGACTTTTTTATCAAATTTTTTTATATTCCGACCTGCAATTTTTTTCCACTAATTGAAATGTCCTTAAATACACATTAACATGAATTCAACACACTGTAGTAAACAGATATATGGAGGCAGAAGATTAGTCAGCGACACTCAGGAGCTCTTTTTTTTTTATACACACACACAGTGTACAGGAGCTCTTTCAAGCTGGGCACCATTTCATTCACAACACCTGTTCCATCAACGAGGAATCAGAATCAGAAATACTTTAATAATCCCCGAGCGAAATTCATTTCGTTACATGACTCCATCTGTAATAGAGTGACTATAGGACCAGTTTAATAGAACACAATTTCATACAATATATATAATGAGGGGATCCCCACTCCATCTCGCCATCAGTTTGGGGGTCCTTGGCCTGGAAAACGTTGAAGACCCCTGCCTTATACAATAGCCATTTGTTATACCGTATTTTCACGACCATAAGGCGCACCAAACTAAAAGGCACAGTCTCAGTTATGTGTGCCATTTCTGTATTTAACACACACATAAGGCGCACCAGACTATAGGGCGCGTTTTTTATATACAGGTACATGTCCTCTACTACCTTTAAATACCTCTACTGCGTATTTAAAAATAGAGCGGGAGCAAAACGGAGTATGATTGTGCTTTATTCATGTATTTATTACAAAGTATTAATCAAACCTGGGAGCTGGCGGTGAGACATTCCTATTGTCGGTGCACCGCTGGTATGTGGGGGGTCTGAGCGCCTCCGACAGAAATAGTAGGCAGGATGATAATCTGGATGAACTGACTGCAATGATGAAGTTTTCAGGTGGATTTTCTCACTTAAAAACATATTAAAACTACTTTATTCCCACTGATCACAGCAAATATAGCTGCAAGGTGTATTTATTACAAAGTATTATTCAAACCTGGGAGCCGGCTGTGAGAGACACATCGCTGATGACACAGGGCTGTGATCACTCCTCTGAAACTGTTTATTACGCATAAATTAACTTAAAATCCTGAAACCTGCCGACAGAATATGTTTGCTTTTATTATCCTATTATCCTTTTATAATCCTTCAGATTATTTAGATGAAAAAACACCTGCCAGCCGCCGCAGTGAAGCCGGAGGCGACCCGGCCCAGAGGCTGCTGTTGAATTAAGTTTTCAGGTAGAAAAATAGAGCGGGAGCAAAACTGAGTATGATTGTGCTTTATTATTGTATGTATTACAAAGTATTAATCGAAGCCATCTTCCTCTGTTTCTGAATTAAACAGCTGCGCTAAATCAGACATTCCAATATCCCCTTCTTCGCTGTCAGAGTTCGTGCCGGGCGGCTCCTCGGAAAGGATGCCGGCTTTTGCGAAAGCTCGAACAACAGCGCCAGTAGAGCTGCCTTCCACTTTTCGTGGAATTATTCTGCCGGCAGAATATGTTCGCTTTTATTATCCTACTGCTCCTACTGATCCTTCATTTTTGCTGCTTGTACCAGTTAGTTCTGACACGCGGCTGAAGCAGCTTTGCTGCTCTGCCTGCGCGGTGCAAAAGTGCGTCTGACGCGCGTTGGGCGGAGCTATCTTATCCTTTCTTTGCCTTGCAGCTATATTTGCTGTCCAGCAGCAAAACTTCAATTTTTCCATCTCGAGCAGCAGCAGCGCGTTCGTGGCGCGTCAAGCGCGTCAGATGCTTAAACGCTCCCGACGCTCTGTGCTTGCTGCTCAAAACGCGCTGCGGGACCTTTTGCTGCGCCTATACAACCAGTTTACATGCAAAGTCAACCATTGTTGAAGTTCCTTTGTCAGACCTCCCGCAATATGGACAGCGTTCATTTGTTTCACCATGTTTTTCACATCAGCTGTGAGATGGAGTCACAGATTACCAGAGATGGTGATGAGTGGAAAAAAAACAACTGGACTCCTTACATTCACCTCCCTCAGCCACTCTTTCATCATCTCCTCAATGAGGAGATGAGGAGTTATGCATGGTGGTCTCAAAAGTCCGCAGCAACAACACACATAGGGCGCATCGCACCAAAGGGCGCGGCGCACATTTTGAGGGAAAAAAAAGACGTTTATATCCGCCTTATAGTCGTGAAAATACGGTAGGTATTTATAACATTGTTACTGTAATTACATCTTCCATGTTTGATAATGCATGCTATATATATATATATATATATATATATATATATATATATATATATATATATATATATATATATATATATATATATATATATATATATATATATATATATATATATATATATATATATATATATATATATATATACAGAGGACCTCGCCTACTCATCACTTTAAAGACATCCCTTTCAGAGACATAGACAGAAGCCAAATGACCCCCATTCCAAAGGGGCGGACCCGTTCGTCTGTTTCAGTTTGCGTCTTTTCTAAACAAAAACAAGGCTTTGTTGGGCTACTGTATAAAACCTCGCATTCAAAGCTATTTCTGAAATTTTTAATTGAAAAAGCTTCCTGGATGGGAAGCGAAACTTCTTCAAACTTGGAAACAAAGTCCAGTGGATTGGTTTTTTATTTTACTTCTTTGGAATGCCATCAGATGTAACATGCTAAAATGTTTAATAGGGAATCAGAAATGTTCTAAAACATATTTAATGAAAGTTCAGGTTACTTGGATGCAGACAGTGGGAATTAATTTTCATTTGAATCTGCTCGACTTCTTTTTGCTTTTCAGTGTGACTCTGGGTTTCAATGGCCTCCAGAGAAACCTTGTCCAAAGGCTTGTGCCTCCCTGGAGAGAGTAATAGAAATCCAGAGTAAGTAGTAAGCCTAGTGGTGTCCACATGGAGCACCACAGCACTCTGTAAGCCTCATTGTTTTTGTTCCAGGCAAACACTGGCCGTGTCTCCAGAGCTTGTCTCAAACCAGCGGCCAGTCCCTCCTTGCAGGGTCACCAGGGGCCCAGGGCCAGTCTGAGAGGGATGAGGCTGAGACGGTCAGCGCCATGGCCTCACTGAGTGTTGATGTGGAGCAGCCATGTTCAGTTCCTGAAAGCAAAGAAACCAGCAGGTCAGTGGTTTCTGTTAGCTTTTTATAGCTTTAACTGATCCATAATACCTTTTTTAAATTTGGAAGTGATAAAAAAGGGAAAAATATATTTCCCTTTTTAGATTAAAAATATCTTAATTTTTTTCATTTATTATTGTTGACTAATCCCCTCATCTTCTATAGCCTCTCTTTCGCTTCACCCTTCTCTTCATCATCTCTGACCAGCTTTGCATTATCTCCTAAAGCATCTCAGCAACAACATGTGTTCATGTTGCATGAGGTTCTGTTGTAGCCCCACCTGACACAGAGCAACTTCCTCACTGTAGCAACAGTTAGAAGGCTGATCCTGGACTGATGAGTCAAAGGAAGCCCTTTTTAGGTCATATTTATGCATTTGTTAGGCAGAAGGTTTTTGGTATTAAAGGAAAAGTCCGGTCACCAAAGAGATAACCAATCTATACCTAAAACTAATATGTTTGCAGTGATTTAATGAATTTCACGTTAAACAGTAAAAAAACAATATTTTTCGTCACAATCACTGAGTCCTGAAACGGTAATTTTTGCCCAAATATAGTAGCCCCTCCCTCCTGCCATCTTCCAGCAGTGACGTCACGGTGCGGTAAGCCTAGCGCCATTCTCCCCGCTTTACAAGCAGAATCACTGGGAACTACTAGACACATCTGCAATCAACAACAATTATTGAAGATTTCCAGAGGACTTCACCATTGAAATTCACCAGAGCTATAGTGAAACTGACAATGCCCATGGCATGGCAGCTGGATGTTGGAATACATCGGGTAAAAGTGGAAAAAGAAAAAAAAAAATTTATTTCACCTTTCCGATTCCTGATCCTCCACGGACGGGTTTCGACGTTGGATTGTCAACTTGAAGAGGGAGGATTTGCCATATAAATTCTGGCCAGAGAAAAAAAAGACGTCATAAATCCGTTACTCTCTGCTTCGCATAATGGTCGCAGAATTCCTGCGGAGTATGAGGAGAGCCCACCTGCCCCCACCCATTCTCACCACCTGCTGCTTTTATACATGGGGGGTCTTTATTATAGAAAGTGTTTTTTTGTGTTTTTTTTGCGGGAAATTGATTGGTTTTGGGGAACCAGGGTGAAGGGGTAAAAAAAAACAAACCACAAATGAAAAAGATTCCCAGATTTTTATTTGAAAAGACTTCTATTTGAAAAACAAACAATGGTTTGCTCTGTCACAAAATGATTCAATGAATAATTCCGGTTATGCATTAATTATACCAGTATCACCAGTGGTCATATAAATAAGTAATTTGGATTTATGTTCTCACAGGTCAACAGAGGAGCCAATGGAGGAAGAGCCTGTCTTGTAAAGTGGAGCTCATTCCCAGAGAAGACAAAAACACCTCCACCTCCTTCTAACACCTCCTGCTCCTCCATAGTGTGTATGTACAGACACACACACATACACAGCACACACATAGGTAGTGTGGGACTGAATGCTTGTGGAGGACTCTGATTGGCTGAAAACATCCACACGAGGTAGGCGAGGCAATCCTGTACAACAGCAGGAACGCATCTGTTTTCCTCTGGTTCATCCGTGAAAGGAGGTGCAGACGACTTGTTGGCATCTCCGTGGAAACCAAAGACGAGGAGCATCAGCAAGGTCTCATTTTTCTATACAGCACCAGTTCACAACATCACCCGACTTTGTCCAGTTCTTCTTTTTTATTTCCAATCTACGCCTCTGTGTCCTCAGAGGAACGGAATAAAAAAAAACTTTTATCTGGTCGGAATGTCGGACATCGAGCGGACGACTTGTCTTCTTGAGTCTGTGTCAGTGAAAACATCAGGTGAAACGTGTTTTTACAAAATACTGGGGGAGCAAGAACTATTGGTGCCTTTTTCTCTGTCTGATAACACGAATTATTCAATCAGAATCTACATTTCACTGCCAGTGCACCTCAGCCAAGCAAACAGCCAATAAGGACTGAAGAACTGGTCGGATGGAGAACACACGGCCACACATATACTGCTGTTGCTTTACTCACTCAGTGTATATCGTATTGTTTCTTATATGTGTTTTTCATCTGAATGCCTTAGTTTTTCATCTTTTTTTCAATGAAGATGGGATCAGAGGATTTGGTGAGCTGTACATTTTTCAGGTATTCCTAAAAAGACATCGTCAGCACAAGTGGAAATGTTTTGTTTTCTTTTTTTATTTAAAAAAAGAAGAGGCTAATTTGAATGTTTGTAGTTAGGTTAATGTAAAATCAATTCTGAGGATACTATCTCAGGATAAGTTCATCTTATACAAAACATGTGCATCACAATGCGGTCCTTCAAACCCATCGGTTGTTTCTTTTATAAGTCGTGTGACCTGAGCCCCCACCCTATTCTCTTCTCTAAAGGAGATTTTGGATTCTGGCACTTTTTCAAATATTACAATGGCTTCCCCTTGCTTTCATTGTATAATTAACACTAGTATTTCTTTTTTGGTGTAATTACTGTCCACCATCAAGTTGCACACTGTAACATCACAGCATGTGGTAGTGAGGTCTGTTTTTACTACATCTGTACATATGTGTATGAATAAACTACAAAATACTTTCTCCTTTGTATGAAAATGAAAAAAAAAACAAATATTTAAACAGTGTTTTAACCAATCAAATTAGATTTCTGAATATATTCTATTGGAAAATCTGATATTTTAAACATTTGGCTATTTGACAGGGAGCTAGTGCACGGCTTGATGGCAACCACCGTCACCGCAGCCTGCTTGTTTGTTTGTTTACAGATGCCAAGGGATGAATGGATGTGTCTTTTGGTGGAGGATGTTGCGCTGGCAGGACCATTACTCTGTACCGCCCTCATACAATCAGCAGCAACTAAGGAGGTGTTCTAAATGAAAGGTCATGACTGGTTTAATAGGTGGGTCCAGTGGGCATGGCTTCATAATTCAACAGAAATTTATGGGCATAGTCCTGATATCTCTATTCATTCAACACTTTGTGAGTTATGTAACGCTAACGGTTAACGTTACCTCATTTAACTACAGTATGAGTCCAATAAAATCATGTTTATTGCTTACTGGCATCTCCGTTTGTTAGCAAACATGGTTAAGACTTTTAGTGCCAAAGAGTCACTGATTGTACAGAATGCAGAGGAAGTCTGATATGGATTACTTCAGGTTAGCTGGAGGCAGAAGGAGCTGCGTTAAAAAAACTGTAATGCAAATTGTCGGCCAAATGGTTACTTTAGTGCTTAACATGAATTATAATGTTGAATAAAAAAGTACTTTTTTAAATTACTCTGAATGCTTTTTGGTTTTTTAGCCTAGAACAAAAACTTTTAATTCTTCTTCCAATAACTGAATGAATAATCCACTCAGCACACATAGGCCAGAATGGTTCATCATAACATGATTAAAAAAGGGCTTTCATTTCATTTAGTTGAAAAAATGGTAAAAATCAATATTTCCCACCTTTTGTTGTTCCTCTGTTTATCAGGTGCTAGCATGCCAAGCTAATATTAATGCTATAGGCTCCAGTAATGGCCTGCTTTAATATGCTCCTTGTAACAGGTAACCTTTATCAAGGACAGCATAAACACAATGGTTCGTACGACCTTTTAATCTCTGATCCGTCACACTGGCCGTATGGCGTCACATGTTAAACTACTTCTGCGCATGCATTATCTACCACCGCACAACAAAATCACACATGCGTGAGAAACTTCCGGTCCAAGAGGGAAAAAATAGCTCTCTGCGCACACTGGGGATGGTGCTCGGGATCTCATAGCTGCTCTCTTGAAAGCGTCTCTGCCCTCGGACCGTTTTTCCTGCTGCGCAACGGAAAATGTGTTTTAACTGGTTGGGCAGAGACAAACCTCTTCTGTAAGCCTCCTCCTGATTGGGCCTTGCAGACACAATCACAGGGGAAGTAGTGTCAGGAAGCCTTTGACTGACAGCCTGTCATCCATAAAGGAAGACGACGGCTGGATGCGGGACAGTGGGGGCGGCTTCTCCAACGTTTGCGGTAGGTGGGATAAGTGTCATTCAAAGGCACACAAATTAAAACAATTTCACCCATTTGACTTGAGGACTTGACGACACTGAATACATTTGTGTCGTGTTTTTTGGCAATTTGACTGGCCTCTAAAAACTACCGTCAGAATGTTATAGAAAAATGTTGGCTCGTTAAAAATCTAGGATTAATTCGCTCATTCCCTTCATGCTTTGGGTTTAGTCCAGTTGCTTTGCTTCTGTACATTCTGTTGAACCATAAGCTAAACTTTCTTGCTAATTGCAAAAATATATATATGGATGACACAATGATTAATAAAGCCCAGTTTAGTTAGTTAGTTACTTCACAAACAAACCACTTCATCAACTGAAGATGTAAAAACCTCAGAGCTGGACCCATCTGTTTAACCAGTGCTGCTAAAAGCTTACAGGTCACATATACTCACATTAGTTCACCTAACTGTAACCGGACATGCAGAGCTGCAGCGGAAATATCGGCATTCAGGTCACATCCTTTCAAAGCAATATCAGAGTGATGGACTTCAAATACTGTTGGATCCTACTGCAGTGTTGATGTGATAGCACAACAGAAAGCACGAGCACCTGGATGATGTGTGGGGGTTTATCTGCCTTCATACACTCTTGTTTGTGTTATCTGTTTGGTGTCAGTCTATGGGGCACCCTACACAGCAGTGTTGCTGTGGTAAACTTATTGGGAAGTCAAAGGTGAGCAGTAAGAGCACCAAGTTTGATGGTGCACGATCTTGTCAGCGGCAAAGGTTGACAGAAGTTTAATAAGCACAAAGAAACAGAGAAATTCAAGGGACATTTGGGTCTTTAAAGCAAATGTGTTACCATTAATAGTTTCCCTGCCGGCAGCGTGTTGTGGTATAAAAGTGAAAAATTCCTTAGATTGGTCAAGGGCTAAAAGCTAATTAGACAAAACATGAACCTGTTTACCTGTTGGAAATCAGACTTTATTAGCAGATATGGAAACATCTGTACTTTTGCTTGACATGTCATTATAGTTTGTTGCTTTCTCTGTCAAGCAGCATATATTTTAATATTTGACTGGCTTCATCGATCTGCAGTAAGGAAGTCTAAGGAATTTAAAATGCACCATTAGATGTGTCACTACAGGGTGTGGAAAGCAATGTTTTCTTACATTTGTTTATTTATTTATCCTGATACTTTTTACTTTATTTTGCTGAGACCAAAATTACAACGATCAAACCCAACCAAGCCGGTGGAGCTGGTGGCTGCTCTGTCCACACATGGTTTCCACACCGGCTGTCTGCAGAATCATCGCTTTAAAGTTGTGAAGATTTTTCACAGCTTTACTGATGTTAAACATAATGAGGGGAATCTCACCACACTTTAATTCTTTTGCTTCTTAAACTGATGCTGTATATTTCCTCACTCTTGATACTGTGGTGTAACTGTAGTATCCTTCTGTACAGTGGTGTGGGGGGAGTGGGGGCAGCTCTGGGCCTTCATTCTGGATGTCTTCTCCCTCCCCTCAGGATTCAGGAGAGATCTTCTCTCTGTTACATTTTCTTCATTTCTTCCTTCATCACTGAATTGTTTTCAGAAGACAGCGTTTCTTTGTGGTTACAGTTGTTGGAACTTATGACAAACACATTCCTGAATCCTGTCCATCTGTGATGTTGATTTTTATTTTTTTATTTTTGCTAATTCTTTGCCGTTGCAATGGTCTTTGTCTAGTTCTCGCTGATTCATGTAAATAAAGTGCATATTTGTGTACACACGTGCAATACACGCTACTCAAGCAATCTATTACTGTGACAAATATTGTTGATAGTTGCTACATTTTGAAGTTTCAGCCTCATTTTGCTCTGTGTCCTGATGAAGGGTGATGGATTCTAAAGGGAAAGCGACTATTGTGATTCCTCACCCTAAGTTTGAATTCAGGGGTTTGTGGAAACTTAATAAAGCCCTTTTGTTTTTGAGAACTCACTGTAATGTTGTGGCGATCTCAAGTTTTTTTTTTTATTGTTATTATTATTAATACTATTTTAAGTGGGCTTGTTAAATTTGTCTGGAAACTCAATAAAGCGATTCACCATTGCCGCTGTCTGTGTGTGATTTAGGCCGATGTGTAGATCTGCAACTATTAGAGGCGGTTACAGTTGGTTTTATCAGTGAAAGAGACAGTGGTGAGAAATATTTGATTCCCTGCTGAAGTGTAAATTTTAGGTTAAGAATTTTTATGGTTGAGTTTTTCTTCCTTTAAGCCAGATTTATTTCTAAAGGTTTACAGCTGATCAGAAATTCTCTGCTTAAAATACAGCTGACAGTTAAGAACAATAAAAACATTTTTTCACACTCTCGCAATAAATTAGTCTTGAATTGTTTTTGGTCTTTTAAGTTTATAAAAACAGTTTCTTTTTTTTGCCTGACTTTTTTCTGCATTCCTCAAATCTGGTTTCTTTAGCCTTATATCATGATGCCTTAACATAGCTTTCAAAAGCAAAACACATTTTATGGCTTTGTTAGCTGTTTAAAAAAAAGGTTAAAGAGCCAAGCCATACATCAGGCTTCTTTTTTGTGTGACATAATATATCAAGTACATTTTGATTTCAAAATACTATTTTAAAACAGGTCTGTTTCCCCTGCATTGTCAGGCATATAAAAATAATCTGACAGTGGAATGAGTATTAAATGGGATAATGCAATTTTTAATTAGATTATGGAGATGTTTTTTATTTTAAACCCAAAACCTAATTTCGTTTAAACAGGGTTCCCGCGGGTCCTTAAAAAGTCTTAAAAGGCATTGAATTCTTCAAAATAAGATTAAGGCCTTAATTGGTATTAAAATGTCTTAAATCAGTCTTTGGTAGGTCTTAATTTTTTAAATATCATAAATAAGATTATTTTTATTACGATTTTTTTTGTTATCTGAATAAAACATTAAAATTGACAATTAATTTTTCCTTTTAATAAAAAATAATAACATCTCGCCATTATTGGTTCTGTCTCGATAGCGAACCAATAAAAGCGTTGTTGCGGCCGGGACATTTGGGAGATGCCTTTGGGTTAAGTTGTTGCAAGCAGGTTTTTCTTGTGTTTCTTGTGAATTTGGTCTTAAATTTTTATTTCAAGTGGCATTAAAAAGTCTTAAAAAGTCTTAAATTGAACTTGCCTTATGCTGTAGGAACCCTGTTTAAAAGACGATTTTAGTAACCTACTCAAATCAAGTGAGAATAACTTTTAGATAAATTTTATCCACATTTTACCTTTAGTGTGGATACAAACTGGTCAAACATTTTTATGGAAGTATTTACACGCCACTAATATGGGAATATTCATCCATATCATTCAGGAAAGGAAATGAAAACATTTTTTAGGACCTTAGGAAAAACACAGAAGATCTTATAAGGACACTGGCTGATCCTGATTAGAGTGAATGAAGAACTGCAGCAACAAAATAAGCCAGACAACAAATAATTATTTAAGTATTAAGGAGAAAAAAAAAAAGGCCTCATGTAAAAACCTCATCTTTGGTTCAACTTGACGGGACCTAGAAGTGAGTACTGAGAGACCCGTGGAATCAAAGACAGTTTGAAGGCGTAGGTTGTCTTGCTGCTTTGTTACTGATGCGATGACTGTAAAGCGCTTTGGGACCCTCTGACTTGATAATAAAGGTGAGTATTGGCATGGGTGTTGCGATACTCAATAAATTGGGCTACAATACGATATTATCACGATTTTGCAATATCACTATATATTGCAATATGTTTTCCAGCTATCAAATTAAATGTATAGAAAAAAGCTAGTGCTGTAAATGTTCATCAGAAGATATTGATAATTTAGTTCTTTTGGCATCCATAATGTTTGGAGTTTGAGTCATGACTGCCTCAACTGCAGATATGGCTCAGCGTTCCACAGCAAATGAGCTCCACAGCGCCATCTACCAGAGTGGTGGTGCAGAGGTAGCCCATTTTCCCTCATCTATTTTTTGGAATCTGAATTTGAGACTTAAGAACTTTCTCAATTATTTTGGTGAAAAGGTTTCCACCACAAGGGCTCTAATCTTACCTCCTGACTCTTATCCTTGCTCTGTGGGTTTTACAATGTTTGAGCTTTTCTAACTAATGTGGTAACAGATCTGAAACCATCAACCAGGTTCCCCTCAGGATCCTGTTCCTCACATTTATTTATGGAGGTTTTTTATTGCATTTCTCAGATTGTCCTTACCCTTTATCAATGTTAGTCTCTGTTCTGGTGTGGTCTTTACAAAACTTAAATATGCAGTAGTTACACCTCTTCTCAAGAAACCAGGACTGGGTCAATCTACATTTTCAAATTGCAGGCCTATTTCTACCATTTGTTTCAAAAGTTTTGAAAAAGATTGTTTTCTCTCAGCTAAAAGCTTATCTGGAGGAAAGTTACCTCCTTTTATTCCGGGTCTAAGGCTCGTCATAGTACTGAATCAACATTGCTAGAAGTTTTTAATGGTATTCTCTTGGCCTGTTACTCTGGTAGATATATGATTGTATTTCTGATGGATCTAACGGCTGCTTTTGACATGGTTGACAATCATATTCTGGTAAAATGTCTGAATAAATTAGTAGAGATCCAGCACACTGCTTTTAACTGATCTTTCTATGTCAAAATTGACAATTCTGAATCATCTAGGGCGGAGGTCTTCAACAGGGGGTCAGTGGACATGCATACATAATATGTTGATTAGACTTTTTTTTATATTCCCCCTGTGCAATTTTTTTCCAATAAATAATATGTCTTTAAATACACATTACCATGAATTCAACACACTGTATTGAACTGATAAATTGAGGCAGAAGATGTCTTTCAGTTATCAATGCACATCCGAATCAAAAATATTCAAATAATCTAATAATCCCAGGGTGAAATTACTTTCGTTACATGTCTCTCTCAATATGTCATACAGTGATAGGATCGGTTTGATATAACACAATTTCATACAATATATACAATTAAGGGGTCCCCGCTCCATCTCACCATCAGTTTAGGGGTCCTTGGCCTGGAAAAGGTTGAAGATCCCTGATCTAGGGCTTCTCCATCGTGAGCAATCCTGCATGGCTTAATTTTGTTTTAAGACATGGGATAATTTCCACTTTTATACTGATGAATGCCAACTCTATTTGCAACTAAAGCAGAGAGATGGTTTTTCAGTTAAGTCTTTATTGAACTGTTTAGATGACATTAAAGCCTGTCTGGCCCCGGAACTTTTTAGATTTTAACAAGAAGAAAACTGAGGTTATAGTGTTCGGGCCTAATAGTCCTTGTGACTCCTCTACTATAGACCTAGGACCCCTGGTACTATAGTTTAAATCGACCGTCGTGAACTTGGGTTTTAAGGTGGACAGTGATTTTGAATTGGGAAAGCAAATTGGAGCAGTTATCAGATCTTGCTTTTATCAGTTAAGACAATTGGCAAAACTAAAACCTTTTCTTTCACAGCAACCCTTTGAAAAAGTTATATGTACGCTTTTTATTTAATGGATTACTGTAACGGCCTCTTTGTTGGTGTTTGCCAGTCTTTGCTGTCTCGCATTTTGTACCAGCTGTAAAGCTGGTACAAAATGCAGCTGCCTGTCTTTTAACTGGTACTCCAAAATATGATCACATCACTACTGTCCTGACCTCACTCCAATGGCAGCGTTTTAATTCAATTCAATTCAGTTTATTTATATAGCGCCAAATTCACAACACATGTCATCTCAAGGCACTTTACAGTTCAACCAGATCATACAGTCAAATTGATACAAAGTTTTCTATCTAAGGAAAACCAGTTGATTGCATTGACTCAAATACAATCCCTCACACTAAGCATGCTTGTAGCGACAGTGGAGAGAAAAAACTCCCTTTTAACAGGAAGAAACCTCCAGCAGAACCAGGCTCAGTGTGAGCGGCCATCTGCCGAGGCCGACTGGGGTTCAAGGAGACAGAAGTTTTAGAGTTGATTTTAAAATTCCTATCTTTGTGCCTAAATAACCTTGCCCCATGTTATCTTTCTGATCTTCTTCATGCCTACAGTACTTGCCTCCTCAGTTCAGCAGAACAGCAGCTCCTGCAGATACCGAGGTTTCAGTGGAAGCTCAGATGGCCCAGAGCCTTTTCTATTGCTGCTCCTCATTTATGGAATAGCCTCCGACTGCACATCAGGAAGTTTCCTTCCCTGTCCAATTTTAAAACACGGCTCAAGATTTACTTTAATTCTCCTGCTTTTAACACTGTCAGGACTTAGTTATTGATGTTGTTTACTTAGTTTTCATAGTATTGGCCTATTTTTTTATGCAGTATTTTAGTCTTTTATTGTGCTTTATTATTACATTTTACCTTTATTGAATAAGGTAAAATTAAAAGTTTCAAGGAAAAAACAGAATGAAACCTAAAACCTTCTTAATGGATTTAAAAGTACACAGCAAATCCAATATGCTTAAATCAACTCTGTCAGATTTGATTTTAACACCAGCAAGTGTTAATTTGACTCTTTTTAGAGAGTTGCCATTGTAACTCTTATTTAGTGTTATATAATAAATCTTTCTGGAGTTGATCATTTAACACTTAATTACACCAACTAGGTGTTAGAATTGGAATATTTTATAAATATTCTCTAAATACTAAAATTTTTACTTTTCTGAACATATGAAAATCCGTTTGGAAAAATAAATAAATTAAGAAGCAATATTTGTTTTTTTCAGCAAACATTAATTTCAAAACGGCATCACAATTGGAAGGTATTTTTTATAAACATGTAACAATGTGAAACCTTTGCCAATTTCCACTTCAATTCTTTGCTTTGTAACAAAATTCCGAAGAGAACTTAAACAAAAAAATATGTTCAGGCACTGCAGAGGTGGTTCAATTCTCCAATTAAACCACCATTTGCTGCATCAATTTTTATGGGACACATTCTTCTGAAGGAGGGGATTCACGTAGCTCCATGTGTTCATAACATTTCTCAAATCATTCTTTTAGGTGTATCGATGTTGATGAGTTTAGCCAAAAAAATACATCAAATATTCTCTACAACCCCTTTTTTCAACACTATAGTTACAAAGATTACAAGTTAGCTAAAC